CAGCAATATTATTGATCCTGATCTGGCATCTCGCTTCCAGACACTTTCAGACGGCCGTAAAGTTGCCTCCTTTCTTCTTTTCTATAAATATTTCCATGGCAACTGTTCGGATGAGTTATTCGCCAGCGTACCTAGACTTTATAAATTTACGCGCAGAATTAGACGGGCGTCGAGGTCAGTTGAGTTAGATAAAATGTCGATGATAGAATCCCTAATTGGCAGTTTGTTTCAATTGAATTTCAATCCAATTTTTAATTACAACTCTTTATGTCCGGATGGAAAGTGTAGTCTTTCATACAAATGTATTAGTTTTTTTTTGTTTGTTTGTTTTTTGTTTTTGTTTTTTTACCCTTAGAAGGATTTTCAGGATCTGGGCAATCATTATTCTCTGAATTTCTTGTTTTTTATTATGCTAAATTTTGTGCCTTTACCATCTTTCTTTGTTCATGTTCTTCCTTGCATTAACACTGGTTTTTAGGTGTTTTTCTTTTCCTGCTTGTCGCGTCCCTTCGGGCTAGATGTAACCGTAAGTTCTATGCTAGCAGTTTCTTTTCTCGCACCTCTCGATTGTTGAACTTCCTGCTTTGTAGCTAAATTTAATCTCCAAAATTTAAATGCAATGTCAATAGCTTTCTTCTGTTCTCCCGATTACCTTTCTATTTTTCTTGCTCCTCACCATAGTTTCTGTTTTATTTTTCCTCACCTAGTGTTATAGAGTAGTTTCACAGTGGAGGCTTGTTTTTCACTAAGTCGCCCCTAAAATGGTTCGACGTACAAAACGTTAGGAACTTGATATAATAGTTAATGACGCAGCAATCTAGTTGTGGTGGTTGATACTTTAATGTCCGACATCGACTGACACACCAACTCCACTGAGCCCCCTGGCGACTGCTACTACTCCTACTTATTATAGGTGCGAGAGGCTATTAACAATAGAATAGGTATGTTCCAGTATAACACCCAGTGAAGCCTTAAGTCCTTGTGCTTTTACTGTCTTGCTTGGGGGCGAAATAGATTTTCAAAAAAGAAGGAATTGTCGTTATTCAGAGTGTTAGAATTAAGATAGCTATGAGGCTATAATTTGAATTACCTGACCCATATGATAAAGAGTAGGGTTCTGATGCATCATGTGCAGTGACACCCTGGTGAGTATATGTGTATGATTCTCCTGCATGTGCGGGTAGTGTAACGGGTATCAGCATTGAAAATAGAACCGGAGAGTCGCGTTCAAATTCCGACCGTGTCTGATGCGTTCAATTTTGCAATAATAACCCTGAGAAAGGCATGAACCCATCTCCCTACTAGTCATCGGGTAAATAGCAAAGGTAGACTGGACTCTCTAAAGTTAGCTGTCAACTAGTCTAGGATAAAGAAAACTTTGAATTTTAAACAGCAGAGGACGTCATGTTAGAAAATACTCCAACCTGTTTAGAAAGGCATGCACTCATCTGCCTACCAGTCATAGGGTAAATAGAAAAGGTAGATTGTACTCTCTAAACTTAGCTGTCAATCAGTCTAGAATACAGAAAATATTAAAAAAAAACTTTGAATTTCAAACAGTAGAGATGACTATGTTAGAAAATACTCCACCATGTTTCTAAAACATTTCATGGCGTTTCATAGATAATAAAGAAAAGCAATGTAGAGAATCATGGCCCCTGCGTGCTAAATGGACATGGTATTTAAAAACAAACATTCCTTTATAATACTCATATAAAAGTTTTATTAACCAGTTGCTATATATAAGCTTTGAAAAGAATTCCTGTATAAAGAATTGGCGGAGAAATAGAAATATGGCGTTTTGTTAGATAGATTAGTTGCAATGAATGTTCTTCGCTTTTTTTAAGGATTTGTTTAAAGTTTGTTCATGTGATCAGGTTAAAAAGTAACCAGTGCAGGGTTTGTGCATGGCAGTCACTTTCACTTCGTAAGCTTACGTATACTTGTGAAATGAAGGCTTAACAGAAGAGACTGCTAATGCGGGGGTTATCACAATCTACAGATCAGCGGTTAAAAACTGATTGAAAACAGACGATACAAAGGAAAGAAAAAAATTAATAAATTGAAGTCTAGAAATACAGATCGCAAAATTTTGAAAGAACAAAAATAAGCTATTACAGATTTTACTGAACATGATTTTGTCGATAAAAGATCCAACCTTTACTGACAATCATTTGTCTTTACGATTATGCATGTAGTAAAACGTTTAAATCAGTGAACCGAGGTCAAATTCAGGGATATCTGTTGCGTTCCCTTTTGTACGAGGTCCTTTGATTAGACATGCACCCGTCATTGTTTTTCCACTCTAGTCATGGGTTAACCCTTTGAACCCGGCGATCCTGAACAATTTTAACCCTTCTGCTTGAGGGCCTGAGTCAAAATACCCCAATAATTGGTATGTAATATATCATGGTAGATATAAAAATAGTTACAAGTGTGTAGCCACCGTTCAACCGGTAGTTGGGCATTAAATCATTTTTCTCTCCCACTGTTCATTGTGGTCAGCGCTGAAAGAGCTAAGTCATTTTTCTCTACTACGGTTCAACCGGTGGCTGGGCATTATGTCATTTTTCTCTACCACCGATAAAGCGGTGGTCAGCACTCAAAGTGTTAAGTCATTTTTCTCTACTATGGTTCAACCGGTGGCTGGGCAGTATGTCATTTTTCTTATGCACCGATAAATCGGTGGTCAACACTCAAAGAGTTATGTCATTTTTCTCTACCACTATTCAACCGGTAGCTGGTCATTACGTCATTTTTCTCTACCACCGATAAAGCGGTGGTCAGCGATCAAGGAGTTAAATCCTTTTTCTCTACCACTGTTCAACCGGTGGCTGGTCCGTATGTCATTTTTCTCTACCACCGATAATGCGGTGGTCATTGCTCAAAGATTTAAGTCATTTTTCTCTACCACTGTTCAACCGGTGGCTGGGCACTACGTCATTTTTTTTTCTGTCACCGGTAAAGCGGTGGTCAGGTTTCAATGGGTTAAATAGCAGAGCAGACTGACTTCTCTAGTCTTGCTTGTCAAACAGTCTCGGAGAAGGACAACTCGTCAAAAAGGGCTGGAGGTGTACTTGAAAACACACATCATCATTTCCTCAACTGTCTACAATCGTCGAGGGAGGCACCTAAGTGCAGTAGAAACTTAGACACTTCTTCTTCATGATCCTTCCAGTGGACTTTCAGATAGCTTGGCGGCGCCCATCTTCTCTCCACGCTGTTTTCGTCTTGAACACTCTCCCCTGTATAAAACTACTTGCGTGGTGAGGTTGCGGCCCTGTGTTTCCGAGGGGGAGTCTACTGCTACCAAGAAAGAGAAAGGGATTTGTCAATTAAAATTCTGATTGGAGGAAAGGTATTAAATTAATGTTTTATGCAGATTCTGATTGGATAAAATGTCGATGGTGGGATTCCTAATTAGAGTTTGTTTCAATTCAATTTCAATCCAATTTTAATTACAACTTGTTAGCGGATGGAAAGTGTAGAAAGTGTTTCATACAAATGTTCCTATTAGTATTTTTTTCTTTTACAAGGTTTTATTTTATGATCTGGGCAATCATTATTCTCCGAACTTGTTGTCTTTTATCGAGCAAACTTTTGGGCCTTTACCACCATTCTTTTTTCTTGTTTTGCCTTGTATTAACACTCGTTTTATAGATCTTCTTCTATGTGCCGTGTCCCTTCAGTCTATAGGCGCTCATGACTTCTATCGCATATGGCCCTTAGCCGTTTTTCTCCCTTTGCTAACCACCTCACCCCCATCCAACCATCTATTCACAGAAGCCTATCAGGGAAAGTGGCTGGTTCTCTTCCCCTTTATTTCTTCCTCTCAATATGCCCCGGGAGTGTTAAGTCTACCAAGCCTTACTTCCTCGTTAAAGTAATTTCAACTCTCTTTTTTTTCTGGTGTTGAGTGTAAGTGTTCATTCTTTGTAATTATTTACATTGTTCGGACTGCCTTCCTCATCTTTAATGCCCTGTTCACGACGTTTCGGTCGTTGTACGCTCCGGCCTTCTTCAGGTAATTGGAATTTCGAACTGAACAATTCATTTCGTCGGCCGGGAAAGAGTTCTAGTTCCGCGTGCCATGACTCTTCCGGATGTTTCAGTTATCTCCCTTTAATTCAACTCTCCAAGTTTTTTTTTGTTCACAACTATTTGGGTCAAATCACATGACCAAGTGGATAAAAGCGTTGGTTGGATTCAGTGACTTGACCCAAGGAGTTGTGAGTTCAGTAATTGGCTACGGCAGTGATGAACGAAATAAAGGCTTCAGTTCAAAATTCTAATCACCTGAAGAAGGTCGGAGCGTACAATGGTCAAAACGTCGTGAACATGGCAATGAAGATGAGGACAGCAGTCCGAGCAATATAAATAAGCGTTCATTCTCTTACTAGTTTTTAAGACTTCATTGTTGGTTACTCGCTCCGTCCATGGAATTTTCAGTCTACAGAACCACATTCTCGATTCGGTAATTTATATCTAAATTTTCTAGGATGAATAGCTATCATTATATTCTTTAGTCAGACTAATGTCCTCATCTTTGTTGACGTCCTCACAATGTTTCGGCTCTTGTAACCTCCAGCCTTCTTCAGGTGTGTGTGGATCGAGGTCAGTGGTTCCCAATTTTGTTTTTACTCTGGCTCACACTTTCGGAATTAAAATTTGTTCGGGCCTCACCAAACTTTATATGACAAAATGTACATTTAAAAATAAAAATGATCCCAGAGAGGGTCAAAGGGAGATAACCACAGATTCGAATTCAGAACAATATCATTGTTCACTCTCTCCTCCAATTTGCGGACCCTAGTTTCTATATTTTTAGTACTTAAAATAATGCAAAAATATCACAATCAATCAATAATTATTTATAAGTATTTATATTAGGACTCATTCAAGTAATTACAAGTAATCCATAATAATATTTTAAATTTTGAAATCATATTTTTGGCATATGAATTTTTAAAACAGTTTCTAAATCTTTGATTGTCTTTCAGTCAATACGTCTATCCTCTTCTGCCTCTCCTGCTGTCCTCTTCCGCCTCACCTGCTATCTTCTTCTGCCTCACCTGCTATCCTCCTCCGTGTCAGCTGCTATCCTCTTCTGCCTCACCTGCTATCCTCCTCCGCCTCACCTGCTATCCTCCTCCGCCTCACCTGCTATCCTCTTCCTTCTCACCTGCTATCCTCTTCTGCCTCACCTGTTATCCTCTTCTGCCTCACCTGCTATCCTCCTCCGCCTTACCTGCTATCCTCTTCGGCTGCACCTATGAGGCGCGCCGCATCGTTTTGGACCCACTAGCCTAGGTAAATTTAAAGTAATTTCGATCTGAAATCTTATTGGATCTACGGATATAGATTGTTCGTGTTAAGCTGTCCGTATTCAGGAACATCTCGTCATTGTTTTTAGTGCAGCTTACATTAGGCGAAAAAAAAGGACGAGCAATAATGTAGCCTGTGGTAAACAATTTAACCCTATCGCACCTGGAGGGCTTTTTTTGCCCGCGCACAAGGGTTAACTGACACTGTTACTTTAGTAGATAAGGTACTGTTTTAAAAGTCCATATATTTTACTAAGATAGACTTAGTCCTTTCCCCGCAAAATTATCGAATTTAGAAAATATTTTAATTAGGTTGTCTTTAGCTTTTATTGGTTCATTTGTGCTTTACGGCTTATTAACGTTTTCAGGTTATTTAATACGTTTTTTTACGTTGTAATAATTTTTTGGCGGTAATAATTTTCTGATACCAGTTCTACTAATTAACCAGTATTTGAGGGAAGAGGAAGTTGATTCATATTTTACCCAGAGGTAAGTTAATATAAAGATCTTGACTTCCCGATTTCCAATTCCGAGGCGTTATCCATTACACCTCACGCACATCAAAGTCTACTCCACCTGGTATTCCCATGCAGTTACCCATCTAGGTACTAACCAAGCTCGACGTTGCTTAACTTCGGTGATCTTGCGAGAACCGATGTTTCAACGTGATATGGCAGTGAGAAAGCAGAATAGGAGAAATAGCTGAAAGATATGATTTTTTTTGTTTGTTCACAATACATTCCGTTATGAATAAAATTTCAATAAGAAGTCAGTTACTGAAAGAGATAGAGGGGAATATAAAATTCATGTTGAGAAATTATGTACAAGTCATGACGTCATTATAATTCATGATTACGTCAGTAGTTCCAGATTCGATGACAATTTAAAGCATCGCCTCACCTGTCTATTATCTGCTTTACAACCGATTAGTAACGCCTGGCTCAACACAGTGTCCTATTCCTCTATCGGTACCCTTCTAGATGATGAGTGTACTCGGGTCGGAATCGCGATCCGTCTCGGACTCAAATTATGTGAGCGTCACAGATGCAGATGTGGAGCTTCTATTGATGGGTTCGGTTTGCATCCTCTCTCCTGTCGTCGTAGTGCCAGCCGCTTTCCACGGCATGCAGCAATAAACGATATCATTAGAAAAGGTTTGAATGGAGTTGGGTTCCCTTCCCAGATCGAACCCGTAGGCCTCGACCGTGGTGATGGAAAGCGGCCGGATGGCATTACCATTTTCCCTTTTAAAATAGGGAAGTCGTTGATTTGGGATGTGACTTGTGCGGATATATTTTCGACCGGTAATTTGATCAGGTCCGCGGTTCAGCACGGGTCCGTCGCCCGGGACGCAGAAATAATAAAAAAAAAAATAGTTAAATATTCTTCTCTTGCTGATAGAATTTTTTTTTTACTCCCGTGGAAATGGAAACTTCTGGGGTTATTTCGAGGATTGGCGCGATAGCGTCTCGATTAAGAAACCAGCCCCGCGAAAGGCAGTGGCTCTTGCAGCGTGTTTCACTGGCGATGGTTCGTTGTAATGCTTTGTCCATCATGGCGGCTGGCAGAGTATAGGAAAAAAAACATTTTGTTTATAGTTACTTTGTATAAAGTTTTTTTTTTTTCAATAAATTCTTCATTTTCGTTTTTAAAAAATTAAAATAAACTGTAAAAAAATTATCCTGCAACGTTTTGAAGCAATTAAAGTTATCATTTGGCGCATTATTAAATTTGATAAACAGATTTTTTTTGCGTTTCGTCTTACTTCCTTTTTCTAAAGTTAACACATTTTTCGATATGTGTATTTTCTTATTTATGCACGATTTTCTAATTTCTAGTGTTTCTGTTTGCCTAATGTTTTCTCATACAACGATATCCAATTTCTTATAACTCATCTATCCTTGCGCACGAAATTAGGGACGCTGGCAGTTTAAACATTTTTGAAAGAATATATTTTAAAGATTTTTTTTTCAAAGGATCCTTTTTCAATTTAGTTAAATCCATCTGAAAAAGAGAAAGAATACAGATGAATCTATCTAGACTGAAAAAATATTCTTTCAAAAATAAAATCGTGTCAAATATATCATCATTATCATGAAAACTGTTTCGATTTGAGGTCACGAATTAGCCGTATCCGGTAAATTGCTCGAAATCAATTGCTCAAAAAATAATTTCTCGAACTATCAATTGCTCGAAAAATAATTTCTCGAACTATCAATTGCTCGAAAAATAATTTCTCGAACTATCAATTGCTCGAAAAATAATTTCTCGAACTATTAACTGCTCGAAAAATAATTTCTCGAAATATCAATTGCTCGAAAAATAATTTCTCGAACTATCAATTGCTCGAAAAATAATTTCTCGAACTATCAATTGCTCGAAAAATAATTTCTCGAACTATCAATTGCTCGAAAAATAATTTCTCGAACTATCAAATGCTCGAAAAATAATTTCTCGAACTATCAATTGCTCGAAAAACAATTTCTCGAACTATCAATTGCTCGAAAGGCAGTTTGCCGGAACCTGTGGTTAAAAAAATAAAACTACATTGTTTCTAATATTTACTATAAGATATAATAATACAACTTAATTGTTGTTGACTAAACTTAAAATTAAAGAACGAGGACATTCATATAGCAGGTCTTAATTTTTTCTGGAAAGGCAGTTTACTCGAAACCTGTGGTTAAAAAAAATAAAACACGTGCTAAGCATTTCCTTTTTTTGCACATTTCCAGTAAATCTTATTGTTCATTGTTTTATCCTTAATATATATATATATATATTCATCCAAACACAACTTCTTTCCTTTTTTGCTCTCAACAAAAGTTATGTTCATCACTAGGGTTTGAAGATCTCCAAAATTACTGAAATAGAAAACAAATATAGAAAAAATAAATCAGGACTTCTAAAGTTGAGTGTTGTGGCTGCTTTTATATCCATCTCCGTTGACGTGTCGTGAGACGGCGCAGTTTACGTGTTGCTTCGAGCTGCGAAATTACTTCGATCAATTGTTAGTTCGAGTAATTATTTTTCTAGCAATTCACCGTCGAGCAATTGATTTCGATCAATTTACCTAGATCCCGAATTAACATCTTCAGTGACATTCTATACTAATTCCACAATATTTTTCCAGCCTTCTCTGCGTGTTTGCGAATTCATTTGATTGTAAACTTCTCAAAAGGAAAAATGGTATCTTTCTGCCTTGTTCTTTGAATGTCTCGGTTCAGCGTTGTGGCTATGGTGGTTCTTGGATGATCTCTGACTTTTTGAAGTCAGTCTTTTCAAAGTAAAACTCCATGGCTTTGTTAGCTGGGCATTCTGGGTCCATTCGCAAAATATGTCCAAGAGCTTTCGAAATGAACAAAGACAAATGAGATTCTTGACATCTGCTGTACAAGTTCTTGTTGGAAATATTATGAGGGTACTTTTCATTTATCAGAATTCACAGTAGTTGTCTGTGGAAAATGCATATCCCTTGCTCTTCTTTCTTTGTAAGACCCCAGGTTCCACAGTTGTAGGTTAAAACTGGTTTCACCATGTTGTTATACAGCTTTAATTTTCCCTTCTCAGATATTCTGTCTCATCTTATCCATAGTTTATCAAGCTTTTCCATAATGGGGATTGTTGTTTCCTCTCATGATTTCTTCAGAATCTCCAATCAGTTACCTAACATTTGTTACTTGTCTCCATCTCCATCATATATATTTTGGAACTACCAGCGTCTCTCGTTTTGTGCAGATGAGTAGACATGAAAATATCAACAACTCCCCGTCCGATGAATTGCTAACGAATCAAACGCGTCACAAAAAACTTTTTCTAATTTGTCATACTATTTTTCTAACGGTTTATATATATATATATATATAAAGAACGTTAATTCCGAGGAGCTTCTAAAACACGTAATGTGTTTATATACGTATATTATATATGTTCCAAAGGTTGTCATAGCCGGGATGAAAGTGAGTACAAGCTCTGAATTCTATAAATGCTTCCGTGGCATGTGTCTCAAATAGCCTCTAAGTCCAGCTTCAAGCTAGATAATAGAGGAACGCGGACAACTGGCGCTTCATAACCAGCTGTCCGGGTAGATGGTGATCGACAGTCCAGAGAAGCAGTCAATCTAACTGAAGGAAAACCTGTTTTTAAATCTTTGCTGCCCTGCGGTCATATTCAAACACGGGAAACGCCATAGAAGTAAATCCAGACAAAAAACTCAGAGTAGAGCACGAAAGTTGGTTGGCTGTCAGCAATCACAACTTTCCGGCAACTCCTAATTGTGACATTCGCACAAATATTTCATACCTTAAAAGTCACAATTATGGGACAGAGGTAATATAGTATTATATGACTTCTGTCCCATAATATTTGTTACATTTGCATATGCATTTCTAACATTAAGTGTCACAACTATCGTTGAACAGAGATTTATATTGTTATAAGACGACTGTCCAATAATATTTGTTACATTTGCAAAAACATTCCATAAACTAAAAATCAGAACTATTATGGGATAGATCTAATATGGCTGTTCATGTTTTACTTCATTAATTTATAGATTTCGTTCCTTTACTTCATTTATTTTATTTATGCTTTTCTTCTTTCTAAAAAGTCTTCGTTTTCTTTTTCTTTTGCCGGTCTTTAGCTTGCTTGATTCTGTGTTTTCTAACTGTTCCTATATTCTTTGGACTTTTTTTTTCAGCGATTATTTGTACTATTTTCCTATTTTTTTCATTTTTTTTTCTTGTGAGTCGGTCCAATCTTCTAACTCAGGACTAGCAATAATTATAAGTGTTAAAACTGCAATGTAAAAGAAGCAAAATCAAGATAGTAACTTCTAGTAACTTTGAGAATTAGAAGGCCAATGAAAGATTCTACTGACGTCAGAAAAAAAAAAGAAAAGTAAGACAAGAAATTTAATGATTGTATAACAAGGAATAAATAAATAAATAAAAAATGGATGCAGGCATCTGACAAGGGAGACAACTGCAAAACAACTTTATTTCTAAAAATGGTTACGAGCACGAGTAAATAATCGAATAAAACAGTTTTGGGGATTTTTTTTTTTATTCGTTCGATCTGTTCACTGGTGAAATAAAATAAAGGATATAAAAAGAGACAGAACGTCAGATAAAAGAAGTTTATAACGGATGTTCTAATTTAACGTTTTGCTTTAATGTAGCTGTGTAGCCAATAAAATTGGCGAAAGAAATAGTTTTTTCGGCACGGCTTTCTGTTCGATTCGGATTAAAAGCATTTATGTTTCTTCTTTGTCTTCTATTACAACATTTTCACCGGAAGAATTAAAGTAAAGATAGTGGTCGTATGAGGCTCCATTTACATCACCGGAAATGGAAAATCTGAGAATACGTTAAACATCTAAAGCCACCTTACACTTTCCAAGAACTATACACGATGTTTTCTCGAAACTTTCCCCGATTAAGAATAAGAAATAAACCATTGTTCAAATAAATAATATATTTCTTAAGTTACTTAAATTTGCTTAGTATTCTCTACAAAATAGTCTACTTGGTAATGGTAAGAATGAGTTTAACCCTTTCCATAGAAGAAATATTAGGCCATTTGTCAGGTTAATATTATAAAATCTTTTTTTTTCATGGAAATAGCTGTCTCAAGCTCATTAAATGTTATGTTTCTAATTCTGATGGGAGTTTCTT